TGTTCATTCATAGTTTTGATGCCTTCAGTGAGAATCTACAATGTAAATAGTCATGAAAATAAAGAAAACGCATTGAATGAGAAGGTGTGTCCAAACTTTTGGCCTGTACTGTATACATATATATATATATATATATGGAGCACAGGTAAAAATGAACTGTGTGATATATATACATCTAAATCACTATTATCATGCCACAATTCCTTTTATTTTGAAAGTCAATGACACTAGTCAAACCTTTGACCCCATCATCACATTCATCACCGACATGGAGGACTCCAGCCATGAAACTTTGCAGCCTGAGGATGAGGTGGCAGCTTACATCTAGTTCAAGACACCCAAGGAGGATCCTTTTGAGATTTTATGGTGGTGGAAGGAGCATGCTAAAATGTTTCCTAACCTGGCAGTGATTGTGCAGAATGTTTTTGCCATGCTTGTGTTTTATTGCACTGTTCTGTTGGTGTTATTGTTTCATTACTATGTATTGTAAAGTGACCTTAGGTTTCTTGAAAGGCGCTATATAAATTAAAGTTCTTATTATTGTTATTATTATTATTATTAGTATTAGTATTATTAGCAATAATAATAATAATAACAGGCCTGTGTGATTATAACTGGAAATACACTGCTCAAAAAAATAAAGGGAACACTTAAATCACACATCATAGATCTTGATGAATGACATATTCCAGATTAAAATCTTTATTGATTGCATAGTGTAATTTGTTGAGAACAAAATAATGTAAGAATAATCCATGGAAACCCAAATCATTAACTAATTTAGGACTGGATTCAGAATCATACCAAAAATCAAAGTGGAAAAATCAGATCACAGGCTGATCCAACTTCTGTGAATTTCCTCAGGACAACTCATAATGTGGTTCAGTAGTATGTATGGCCTCCACGTGCCTGTATACATTCTCTACCACGTCTGGGCATGCTCCTGATGAGACGACAGATGGTCTCCTGGGGGATCTCCTCCCAGACCTGGATCAGGGCATCAGTCAGCTCCTGGACAGTCTGTGGTGTGATGTGGCGGCGGTGGATGCTATGATACACGATGTCCCACAGGTGCTCAATTGGATTCAGGTCTGGGGAGCAGACGGGCCAGTCAATAGCATCAATGCCTTCGTCATCCAGGAACTGATGACACACTCCAGCCACATGAGGCCGGGCATTGTCATGCATCAGAAGGAACCCAGGGCCCACTGCACCAGCATATGGTCTGACAATGGGTCTGAGGATCTCAACCCGGTACCTAACAGCAGTCAGGGTACCTCTGGCTAGCACATGGAGGTCTGTGCGGCCCTCCAAGGATATGCCTACCCAGACCATCACTGACCCACCCCCAAACCAGTCTA